TGACAATATCATACTGACTGAAGATTATGTCATGATGATACGATGATATAATTTTTATGTCATCATGTATTATTTCTATCGAGTCATCTATAAGTACACGTCATCATATTTTCCTCTTATAAGCTGATAAAACTAGGTTCATGCTTCCTCACACATTGCTGTTTCACATCATAGAAAACAAATGGTCTATATTGTTGTAGCTTTGGCTCATCAATGCGCAAACTGAACGCTCCCATGATGATATGAACAGGTGGCGATACCTGTTTTGAAAGGATTAAGGAAATTATGAACTTACTTTTCGGATTTACCGGAAAGAGAGCGGCTTGCAGGTGTTGCACAGTTGGGTATCCATCAGAAAAGCATGCCATGGTGATACTGATACAGGAATGAATCCTCTTTTGGAGCCACCCTCCTGTCCCTGCCTGCTGAATTCCGAGCCCCCGTTCTAACCCCACCAAGAACCCCACTTCCACCCTATCTGATTATTTCTCCCGCTTAGTTACTGCCAAACACCTGAGGCACGATATCGACTGGAGCAGCGAGTCTCAGGCGAACGATCTAAAACAGCGACAAAGCAACGAGGGTGTGATTGTTACCGACGAACTAAGCAAACGGCCAATAGAGTCGATTGATGAGCTAAAGATATTCGGTCTCAATTCTATTTTGAGTGATCCAGAGGATTTTCCAACTCTCACAAATGAGTTCATGTTGATATTCACAATCAGCTCAAAGCAAATTGATGACGTCGCCATCACAATATCGTCCGAATGGCGTGCGGACGGCCTACAACTATACTAGGACCGATTACGATACAATTTGATTCAGTAGTAAGCTTAATCTCGAAGTCTCTTGCCTCTTGCTTGTTCTGGCCCTAATTTTGGCTCATAAAAAATCCGGAAGCTGCTACTAGAAGTGAGAAATGATGAGTTTTTTAGTTGAAAGATATCTCCTACTTTACACGTGTGTATTTGAACTTAACATTCTATTAAATTCGTCATTTATTCGATTACTCGGGTAAAAGTGATTTATTACGATTATCAGCATTAAAAATCAATATTTGGGGTTATTCGTTTATGAAAAAATAGGCCAAATTTGAATTTTCATGTAGTTTGAACCCTAAAGTAATTTTTTCGAAAAATACCATACAATTGATACACGCCTATTTCCACAAAGAACGACATTTAGGTATACGACAAATTTTCTATTATGGGCCCAAATGAACCAATTTTTAGCCATTTTTGGCGCCAAAATTCTCATTATGACTTCTGAGGATGATTCTGCATTGTGTTTTAGTACTATACAGAGAGTTTCAACAAAAATAACCCATGAAACTATACTCCACCCGTTGAACTCTGTTGGATTTACATATTTTTGCATTTAATTTGCCTTAAAACGGCCTATTTTTTTCGAATTTTGGCCTACGCAGGAGATTATATCGAAGTGTGACCAACATTTCGATTTTTATTTACATAGAAATCTATATCGCTCTTGTAACATTAGAATTCTGAAGTGGGTAAGATGCAGAGGTCGGGGATTTTTAGCAATTCGCCATTTTGAGGCCAAGACAAGGGTCAAAATTCCTGATCTTTCGTGTACGAGTTGAACATATCCTCAAGAAGATCTGTGCAAAATTTCAAGCAAACATATGCATTTCCCTCCGAGTCACGCTTTCTGACCGCCCCATGATTTGTTTTTCCCACTGTGGAGCGCAAAAATTCAAACCTTCGAAAACAGCGCACTATGGTCTGGGAGCGCCAAATTGTGGCTGTTGATTTATGTTGTTACTAATGTTTGGACATTAGTCTTTATCCAGCAAGTTGGTATCAAGTCAAACTTTTAGTTTTCCCTCCTTCTCTTTGTCTAAATTTTTTAGGTTACATTTTTGATATCCTTTCTGTGAGAATGTCTTAGCTCGTGATTCAGAGGAAGTTAACGAAGCATTGCGCTATTTAAATAACGTTTACTCGTTTATTTAAAAACTCTGATCAACAGGTTATTATGGCCCAGTAGCAGTTTTGTTTGTCCTGTTCGGCGTATTAGTTTTGTTGAAGAAGTGTCCGGTTGTTCTCCTTCGGGGTGAATCGCAGAAGAAGTATTTCGAATCATCATGGCAGAAATAGAACACAGCCTTACGAAGAACCTAAAACTAACCGATGACAACTACTTTCCCTGGTCAGTGAAGTTGAAAGCCTAACTTAATCATCGTGACTGAGGAGAGATTGACCCAGGCTATAAAAAAGGATACTTGGCAAACCTCACGGCAGCTCAGAAGAAGAAGAATAGCAGCGATCTCTCAACTAAAATACTGACAGTGAGTGATAAGTTCATTGATTATATTGGTGGCTGTTTAACAGCCAAGAAAGCATGGACTACCCTAGAAAACCTCCATCAAGATTATGGGATCATGCACCAACTGGAATTCCTTGAAGATCTCACTACGTTACGAAAAGGTGACCTAACAATGTCTGATTATGTTTCCAAGCTCATGGACCTTAACAGAAAAGTCAAAAAAGCTGGGACTGAGTTTGAGGGGCACGCTTTATCCTTATTTCTTTTACGAAGTTTACCTAAAGACAGGTTTGATTTCATCCGCTCTTTAGAATTTAAGGAAGCCTCAGTTTTTGATGATGTTGTCTCTAAGTTGTTAATTGAAGAGAAACGCCAGAAACGAGCAGTGGAAATGGAAAGCAAAGAGGACGAAGCTACAGCAATGGCAGCCTTCAGGAATTCAGGCTGAAAGAAGAAGCAGTGGAACTGTAAATCAGATCCGAAGAAGGAGAGCAGATCTGGACCGACTAGCAAGCAGTCTCAATCCAAAGGTGAGCGAGTGTATAAATGCTTTACGTGTGGTAAATTCGGGCATGTTTCCCGTGAATGTCCTGAGCTCAAAGAATTTCTCCCCCAAAAAGCCAGAGAAGATTCCGGTGGTGATACAGCAAAAAGTGCAAAAAGTCAGTGAAGTATTAGAAGTAGTGAATAATGCACGGGCGTATTGCTCAGTTGGTACAATAAACAAAGGAAAGAAGAAGAGGCGTTGGTGCCTAGACTCCGGTGCGTCAGACCACATGAGTCCATTGAGAGAAGATTTTGTTGAATTCAGTGACAAAGTTAGCGGAGTGATCACAATGGGAAACGGGGAAGAAGCCGTGATACAAGGCAAAGGAAAAGTTATCATCAAAACGCTAAAAGAAGATGGTTGGTTAATTGTATCTTTATCCAACGCTCTGCATGTACCAGAACTTGAATGCGGATTAATGTCTGTCGCAAAACTTACGGATAGGGGTTTAAACGTTGTTTTCTCAGGCAATAAGGCAATGGTGATGGACGATAATACGCTTATTTTCAAAGCGCAGAAGAAGGAGCAAGTTTACATCATCAATACCTCAAATGAAGATGGTCATATTATGCCTGAACCCGATCGAACGAAGAATGCCCCTAGATCAGGAATAGCGTGTAAAGCTGTTAGTACCCAGTTGTAGCATGAGCGTTTTGGGCACTTACATGAAGAAGCCCTCAAAATTTGGGCCAATTTCAACCATTTTAAATGGTGCCAAAGGTCGATTTTGTGATGAAATTATGATATTTGGGTTTAGACCTCGATTTCGTACAAAAAACTCGATTTTTCGCTGAAATCGTGCGTTTACGAGAAAATGCCACTGAACTCAAGTTGTAGAGGATGAAATTTTACGTTACGAAGACGTCTTTGTAAACGATAAAAATCAAATTGAACTAGAAAAACTCACCTCGGTAAATATTTTTTTGGTCCTCAGAATTTCCGAGGTCTTGCAAAGTAGCGGTTTAAAAGACTCATTCTTCACGAAAATAAGCCGAAAGAAGGTATAAATGAACTGTTCGCAAGTGTTGAAGANGAGAGGGGGCGTCGCCCCCCCAAGTGAGATTTTTCGCCCCCCCCCTAGTGATATTGCGGAGTTTAATTAACTTCATTATTTATAGTCCCGGACTTTAGTCAAAAGTTCGGTTATTATTCCTCAATCCTAAAAAAGTTGGTGAATCAACTTATCAACTTATCAACAAGTTATTTGTGGAGTTGTCTTACAGCCAGGGCGCACACGCTCATCGCAGACAGCTTGTTTTTGAAGATGAGGCGACAGGCGACAGGGCATAGAGAAAAAAAAGGAGGTCTTTGCATTGCGGGCATCTTGGAATTTTTTTGATGACGTAGGTCGGCACAGCGACTTTTATCATCGATTTCCTTGGAAATGGTGCAATTTATGGAAAAGAGTCATGCTTTAAAAAGTGCTTGAAATTATATCATGAGTTGATTTAAGCAAAAAAATTGAACATTATGGTCCGTTTCTCATACTTCGAATTCCGGATTTCGCTGGCCAGGTTGTACCGACCTACGTCACAGGGTAAACAAACCTCAAGATGCAAATACCTCCTTTTTTTTTCTCTATGGCGACAGGGAGGAAGCAAATCCGAGACTCCGCGAATTTGTTCCTCGGCCGTCGAGGTTCGGCGTTGCCAGATCTGTTGGAGCCTCAAAGTTATGATGCGTAAAACTTTGGATGAGAACTAGATATTGTCATCTTAAGTCTTGTGGAAACAATATGTTACTATCGTATATTAGTGACATTTTACAGATCGTGTATCCAGGCAATCCAGGTCTAATTTTCTCAGTTACACCCACACGTTATAAGTTGGCAACGCTGAGCTCTCCTTTCTCCCTGAAGTTTTCGGCAGTCGACTCAGTCGAGCCCCGAATTTTTTCCAAACGTGGTTGATTTTGTTTTCTCTGTCCCGTGTCCCCTCGGGTTTTGATTAGTTTGAGCATAGTGTTCTATTCCAAGTTCAAGTGCTTTTTTGATACTGTTATTTACCTACTCCATACTTTTTCATTAATTAAAACGCGTTGCGTTGGAGCCGAGTTCTGCGTTTTCGCGGGTTTTGTGCACATTTATTATGGCTCTGCTTCAACCGGTTTTGATCAAAAGGGGCTAAGTGCTTTCGCGAATCGTGTGCTTCATTTCATTTTTAAAATGGATCGATTTGTGATTCGAAAGAAACAAAGCGACAACCTAGAGAGAAATAATTCTGCAAAAACGAACCCCTCTCCTTTTGATAAGCATGTGACTGATAAAAATGTAAGTTTTTCCGTCGCGCCTTCAACTAGCTGTGATGAAATAAGTACTACCGGCAGTGATTCAGAGAAGTCTAAGCCATCTGCTGCCCCTGAAAAATCTAACTGTAACAAAAACAAAAATAATAGTGCTTCTACTACCAGTGATAAACAAGATATCGCTGCGATTATTTCTGATGAGTTGGCGCACAAAAATGAGCCCATTAAACAGATAAAACTTTCAATTTACCCGAAGAATAATCAAGGAAGAATGTTTCGATCTGAATGGTATAGTACTTTTCCTTGGCTGGAATATTCACCCACCCTTGATTCTGCCTTCTGCTATGTTTGCCGTTTATACGCTGTTTATACTAAGGAGCTGGCTTTCGTAAAAACGGGTTACAATAACTGGAAACATGCATGTGATAAAACAAAATCTGGATTTCACAAGCATGAAAGTTCATCCACCCACATTGAAGCTGTAGCCTTTATGAATGAGCAAAAAACAAGACGAGAATTGAATGTTTCTGTTGAAACTCTAGTGAATGATAGTGTGCTCGAAAAACGCAGGTATTACGTGAAAAGTATAATCGAAGTTGTGCAATTTTTGGTCGTGAATGAGCTTGCTTTAAGGGGCAATTATAATTTGGATGAACATGTGGAGCAGGGTTTATTTGAAAACCTTTTTGAATTCACTATTAGAAAATATGAAAAACTTGCTGAAATTTGTAATTCCAGTGTCATCCCTAAAAATGCTACCTACAAATCACCTGAAATTCAGAACGAAATAATTCAAATTATGACCGAGGCTATTCAAGAAGATGTGGCAAATGAAGTTAACACGTCGGACGTCCCATTGTTTACATTATTGGAAGACGGTACTAAGGATAAAAATCGGCGTGAAAATGTTGCCACTGCTCTGCGCTACGTGAAAGACAAACACGTTTACGAATCAATACTGTCTATTGAGTCTACAGAAAAATTAGACGCCGAAACATTCACAAATGTAACTTTAGAAACATTGGAGAGGAAAAACGTTAAACCGGAAAACATGTTGAGCCAGTGCTACGATGGAGCTAGCGTTATGAGTGGCTCAGATGGAGGTGTTCAAGCTCTAAATCAGAAAAAGTTGAAAAAAATTATTCCCTATGTCCATTGCTTTAATCATAAGTTGCATCTCGTTGTTGTGAAAACCGCCGAAAACGTGGTAATAGTTCGCATATTTTTTGGACAAACCAATGAACTTTATAACTTTTTGTCACGCTCAAGAATAGCACCTCATTATAAAGGTAAAGCTTTATCACGACTCCTCGACCAAAGATGGTCTGGCCATCTTCATGATTGCGAAGTCATATACAATGAGTATAACCATATTTTAGAGACTCTCGATCTTATTGCCGATAGCAAAGAGTCTGAATTTGATGGAGATGAAGTCACTTTGAGTATTGGTTTGCGTAAGGTGATGAGGCAAAAAGATTTTGTGTTTTGCTTGCTTATAATGAGAAATATCTTGCGCACGTTTAAGCCAGCGGATACAAGCTTTCAAGAGCGCCAAATCACGTTACTGGACGCATCAGATCTGGTAAATTCTATCCTCGAATCTTTAAAAATTTCGAGAACCGACGAAGTTTTTGATATGACAGTTCGCGAGCTCTCTTGTTTCACTGAAATACAAGAAAACGTGAGACTTCGTAGAAAGCGTAAATTCAATTCCCGACTTAATGTCTACGCCACATTCGAGACCGTAGGACACAAAGACCAAGATTCAGATGTCGGATTTAAAAGTTACAAAGCCATTTACAATGAAATCTACGATCTTGTTACAGCTGAAATCAACAGAAGGTTCGAAAACACCGACTTGCTGAAAGCGATCAGTGCAGCGGAAAATTTAGAATATGAAAATTCGAAATTAAATTATTTGAAGGAATTCGGCATTACCGTCCCGAGTAAAGAGGAAATGATGGTTGCGAAAAATTTTCTGGAGAGAAGAAATGTTCCAAAAGACAAAATATTTGACGAACTATATTCTCAAAGATCTGCATTCAAAGACTGTGACGCGATGTTAGCTGGGGTTAGAACATTTGCTTGCAGTACAGCAGTCTGTGAATCAACTTTTTCGGCTCTTACGAGAATCAACAGAGCTCAGAGACTATCAATGACACATAAGCGGATGGCAAATTTGACTCACCTAGCTTTTGAGGCGAAAAGAACAAAGGCACTGGACTTAGACAGAATTCTTAAGAAGTTTAACGCCTCAAAAAATCGTCGCCTGCAGCTTTACTAGTTGTGAGTAAATGATTGATTTCATTTTACTGTACTTTTTTGCATGTTTCACTAATAAATGTTTTCCCTAATGCCTCGCGTCCGAAAACACATTGTTCTTAAATCAATTTTTGCCCCCCCCCCTCCCCCGCGACCTACAAATTTCTCGCCCCCTCATGTTGAAATTCTGCCCCCCCAATCATACCATCCTGGCTACAGCCCTGTGCACAATCCTCCAAAAAGTGTACGGCTCGAGAAGCAGGATCGTGCTATGATAGTGAGGGAGAAGTGCGGTTTGACCGGGAAAAATTGCGTAACGAACTTTCCCTATGTAATCGTCATCAGTAGGTCCCCCTGAACAACTTCCTAAAAGTTAAAAATGGTGCGACCCCGGAACACCCCTCAAAGTACTTAAAATTGAAAATGGCGGCCGTAATAAGGGGGTCCGGGAAATCGGTATTTTAAAAAGCTCAGTCTGTCTTATGTGAGGTATCATTTCCTATGTAATTTTGGTCGTAGATTTCATAAATTAACTCCACAAGGCCCCCCGGTCAAAGGGGCGCTCCAAATCAAAGATGACAGCCAAATGTGAAAGGCAGGAGGTTGCATTTTTTTAAATACTCACCGACGGAACAATATAGACAAGGAAAATAGAGACTTTTCACTTTCCTTGTTCCGTCGGTGAGTATTTAAAAATATGCAACCTCCTGCCTTTCACATTTGGCTGCCATCTTTGATTTGGAGCGCCCTCTTTGACCAGGGGGCCTTGTGGAGTTAATTTATGAAATCTACGACCAAAATTACATAGGAAATGATACCTCACATGAGACAGACTGAGCTTTTTAAAATACCGATTTCCCGGACCCCCTTATTACGGCCGCCATTTTCAATTTTAAGTACTTTGAGGGGTGTTCCGGGGTCGCACCATTTTTAACTTTTAGGAAGTTGTTCAGGGGGACCTACTGATGACGATTACATAGGGAAAGTTCGTTACGCAATTTTTCCCGGTCAAACCGCACTTCTCCCTCACTATCATAGCACGATCCTGCTTCTCGAGCCGTGCACTTTTTGGAGGATTGTGCAAAATAGTTGGAATTTTTTTTGAAACTGAGGAAGTTCTGATGACATTGGCATCTTCAACACTTGCGAACAGTTCATTTATACCTTCTTTCGGCTTATTTTCGTGAAGAATGAGTCTTTTAAACCGCTACTTTGCAAGACCTCGGAAATTCTGAGGACCAAAAAAATATTTACCGAGGTGAGTTTTTCTAGTTCAATTTGATTTTTATCGTTTACAAAGACGTCTTCGTAACGTAAAATTTCATCCTCTACAACTTGAGTTCAGTGGCATTTTCTCGTAAACGCACGATTTCAGCGAAAAATCGAGTTTTTTGTACGAAATCGAGGTCTAGACCCAAATATCGTAATTTCATCACAAAATCGACCTTTGGCACCATTTAAAATGGTTGAAATTGGCCCAAATTTTGGCAAACATGTTATTTTACCAAACGTCATCGATTGCCGCCCGGGGAGCGGAATATTTCAGACTTTCATTTTTTTTGACGCACCCTAGGGTAGTTTGGTTCCCTTGGCATAATTGATGAGAGATTGTCATCGGACACCAAAAGAGTCTTTGTTCACAACATGAAACACAATTTAGGGTTTCCTAATCCGCCTATCCGCCAGAACGTACAATTTAACTGATGTCTAGGGTCACATTTGAAGACAATTATTTTCATGATCTCTTATAAGTCACAGCCAAAGTCAATAAAACCATCCAAATATATTAAAAATAGTCGGATAAACATTTGAAGACTCTTAGCCTTTAAGTAAACTGTCGATTATTTGATTTAGTTGATTAACTTTGAATTGTTTAATTTGTTGAAATTGATTTTCCTACATTATAGCCAATATCATATTAAGAGAATGTGTTTTTTAGATGTATTTATACGTTTCAACCTTTTTTTTAATGTTAGTGTGTATCTAGGTCAATTCATAATGATACATTGCAACGTACGGGAACTTTCGGGCCAGCGTAAGCTTAGTGCGTGTGTGCGGCATGCGGCATGTCGCTTGGGCAGTGCAGAGGACTCGCGCGCGCGTTGCGCTGCGGCGCGTCCATTTTGCCCCAAGTGTCTTTCCTTGCGCGCGCCTTTCTCGGGTGTTTTGCGGCTTTTGTGTTGCAGATACGACCAAACGGAAGTAATTTTCGTCCTTTAGGACCGTAACTCGGCGTTTTCCACTAAATAACAGTGTTATTTTGTCTAAAAACCTCAAATTTTAACCTGTGTCACTTAAGTCGTTTGAGCACCGGGTAAAAATTGTTTTAAAATTTTTTCCTTGCACAGGGCTTCTAATCTATCCACACTCCACACATCAACTTTTAAGACCAGGACCTCCTTCGATTTCGAAAATTTAAAAAATAAGAAACACCCTACCCTAGGGTGCCCCCTGAAAATTTTAGGGGGGCCAAAAAGTAGCTCCCTTTGACCTAGGAACATCCCCCAAGTTTCAAATCTTTACCTCAATTAGGTAAAAAGTTAGAGGGGATGGAAGGGACTTTTGGATCACCCTGTATATCCTTTACTTTTAATCAATAAGCTTAAATAGAAGCTCGATAATCTTGAAAAAAATGATACCTATTTGTAAGTAAAGTAACAACCAATGAAGACTTAATTTGTGAAAGTAATCTTTCGATACTTGAGGAAACAAGCGGTGATCTCTGAGTATGTTTAGATCCGACTTTAAATAAATGTTTGGTGCCACAAAAATGTCATATCTGCACAATGGATGAAATGTGTGCCACCTTTCAAGAAAGGAATTCTTCACAGTTATCAGCGCGCCGTTCTCAGAACGGATCGTTTTTTACAATCGGTGTGCGGGTACCTACTATTCTAAGGTTATTCTTCACCATTGACCAGAATAATAAGGATTTCGATCAAATCACGTCCTCCTCAGCGTGGTGACTTTGGAAATATCATTTAAACGCGTTTTTTTCTACATCCGTCGCTGTATAAGTAGGTAAATGCGACAGTGCTAGCAGTTTATTTTAACGTGTGGAGCCTAAATTCTCTATCTAAATCATTTTATTACGATCATTTTTCATCAACGCGTTTGAATTTCTCGGTGAATCATCACGTGAAGTCGATACTGCACATGTTCCATTTGGCGTTTAACCCTGGTTTGACATCTGTACCAACTAGTGGCGGGATAATTTAAACGTCTTACCTCAATATTTTAGCTTCGGAAATAAAAAGTATTATGCATTGAACTAGGTGGAAAATTACTCCTAAGGAATCATTATACCCTAGGAAGTCAAAATCAGAAGTTTACGTTAAACGATAGGTAGTATTTTTATTAGTTATTGTAAATGATAAAATGTGAGAGTTCCTTTGTGACGTATTAGCCACGGTTAGAGTCCCTTTATACCCAGAGTTAAGACAACTCGATTATCAGCTGACTGGCAGCCGGCCTTGGCTGGCCATGGAGGCCGAAACGAGTGCACCCAAACGAACGATATTGAGGGATAAGGATCAGGAATCCTGCGATGTCTGTCAAACAAAAACAACAACATCAACAAATTGGATCAATTAAAAAGAAAATGAGATTGGTTTGTGAATAATTTCTTAATCTATTTTCATTTGAACCGATGGAAATAACAATTTACTCTTGATGGACCACAATTAGGCAATATTTTCATTATTCTTGTTCACATTCGAGGTACCGCCATCTTGGTGCACTCGTTTCGGCCTCCATGAGCGAGAACCAATCAGAATTGGATTTTTTTTAGGCCACTTTCAGCCCAACCAAAAGTGAGTTGTCTTAACTCTGGGTATAAAGGGACTCTAGCCACGGTCGGTAGTGTTGCGCGGCGGCCCCCAGCACACAAGTAAAGCAATTTCATCCGCGTTGCCACATCAATCCACAGTCTAGTTGACTACACAACTGTCTATACGGTCCGTAAGGTCCACGGATCGATCCCCGCTAGATCTTCCAAAGTTTTATTGTCCGTCGCGTACATATCATTTTAAAACTTTTGATGGAGAGTTTATTTCAATGGATCTCCATCATCTAGAGAGGACGCCAAGCTCATCTCTGTCATGAATGTTGAGAAATACCTTACTCATAATTTATTTGATGTTTATTCATAATAAGTGGAAAAAATCAGCAAGATGTAAAAAAAGTGCATTCTTCCGCTGAGAGAATAAAATTGATGTTTAAATATTAAATGCAACATTGAATCGCTTCCTTATCTAGCACTCGTGTTCCGGAGATGTCTGCTTGTTTATTATGTATGTACATTCTATCACGAGGAAGTATTCTGCAAGTCGATGGTTAATTTTTCCAAAAACTATTATGGTTCTACATCTGGAAGCAGATAAAAAATAATCTACTTTTCAAAGGTTGCGTTAAAAAAAGCTGTTTTTAAAAAACCCCATTGCATTTTGAAACGGTTTGAAGGGCCAACAAATATTTTCAAAAGCACACTCTATCACGAGAAAGTATTCTGCAAGTCGATCAGCCTATCAGATGCAGTCCTCTCCACCAAGAGGAAAAATGCGCGCTTTAGGGGAGACCGGGGTTATGTTGGCCACGGGGCTATGATAACCATCGTGAGAATTTTGTAGAGGAAATCGTAAATTTGATGTTTTGATGAGAAAAAAGGTTGGCAGCGATGTAGACTAACAATTCAAAATATCAACATCGATGGTGTCCCCCTCTGTTATGTTCTGTGCTGTAACATTCTTGTTTACCTTCGAAAATAGCCCGAAAATGCGATTTTTTTAATTTTGGATTTTGTTTGCTGTGGCGAGTATTTATTTTGTATATTATTAATCTTTGTTTCTATTTGAAGTAGACCCCTTCCCTTTGATTTTAGTGTATGGATTTATGGCTTTTGACTCCTTGTTTCTCAGTTGGATGACTTTGATTTGAGGTGACCTCAATCGGGGCTATGTGGACCATGTTTCTGGGGCTATGTTGACCTACTAAGAAAACATACATTTTATATTTTTTTTGCGT